ATAATAGTATCAAAAATAGTAATACACTGTATTTACGCTAAAAGTGCTCTATTTTCGCTGAAAACGCTAAATCATAGAGATTGTTGTGTGTTTATCCGTTTGGAGCGTATTATATCTCGTTGGAAAGATAGATCGGAGCTCTAAAGCTATTGTTCCAACTTCATTTACAATGCATTAATTAAAAGTTACAGATTAACCATATATTCACAAATGTTTCTGATTTCACTCTGAACTCGTGTAGAATTTGATGCGATCACATCTTGCTCTTTGTTGTGCCATTGAAAGCGTTTAATATCTCGTTTGAATGATCATACCGAGTTCTAAAACTTGTCTTCAGGCGCTGGTTTCAAAAAATCAAGGGATTATTTCCTAATTACTAAAATACACTGTATTTACGCTAAAAGTGCTCTATTTTAGCTGAAAACGCTAAATCATAGAGATAAGGCTAAGTATTTGTGACACTCATATCTTGCTGTGTGTTTATCCGTTTGGAGCGTATTATATCTCGTTGAAAAGATAGATCGGAGCTCTAAAGCTATTGTTCCAACTTCATTTACAATGCATTAATTAAAAGTTACAGATTAACCATATATTCACAAATGTTTCTGATTTCACTCCGAACTCGTGTAGATTTGATGCGATCATATCTTGCTCTATTTTGTGCCATTGAAAGCGTTTAATATCTCGTTGGAAAGATCTTACCATTTTCTAAAACTTGTCTTCAGGCGCTGGTTTCAAAATATCAAGGGATGATTGCCCAATTACTAAAATACACTGTATTTACGCTAAAAGTGCTCTATTTTCTCTGAAAACGCTAAATCATAGAGATACGGCTAAGTATTTGTGACACTCATATCTTGCTGTGTGTTTAACCGTTTGGAGCGTATTATATCTCGTTGGAAAGATAGATCGGAGATAATAATAATAATAATAATAATAATAATAATAATAATAATAACACTAATAATAATAATAATTATAATCATAATCATAATAATAATAATAATATTAATAATAATAATAATAATAAGAATAATAATAATAATAGTAATAATAATAGTATCAAAAATAGTAATACACTGTATTTACGCTAAAAGTGCTCTATTTTCGCTGAAAACGCTAAATCATAGAGATTGTTGTGTGTTTATCCGTTTGTAGCGTATTATATCTCGTTGGAAAGATAGATCGGAGCTCTAAAGCTATTGTTCCAACTTCATTTACAATTCATTAATTAAAAGTTACAGATTAACCATATATTCACAAATGTTTCTGATTTCACTCTGAACTCGTGTAGAATTTGATGCGATCACATCTTGCTCTTTGTTGTACCATTGAAAGCGTTTAATATCTCGTTTGAAAGATCATACCGAGTTCTAAAACTTGTCTTCAGGCGCTGGTTTCAAAAAATCAAGGGATTATTTCCTAATTACTAAAATACACTGTATTTACGCTAAAAGTGCTCTATTTTAGCTGAAAACGCTAAATCATAGAGATAAGGCTAAGTATTTGTGACACTCATATCCTGCTGTGTGTTTAACCGTTTGGGGCGTATTATATCTCGTTGGAAAGATAGATCGGAGCTCTAAAGCTATTGTTCCAACTTCATTTACAATGCATTAAATAAAAGTTACAAATCAACCATATATAAACAAATGTTTCTGATTTCACTCCGAACTCGTGTAGAATTTGATGCGATCATATCTTGCTCTATTTTGTGTCGTTGAAATTGTTTAATATCTCGTTGGAAAGATCTTACCGAGATCTAAAACTTGTTTTCAGGCGCTGGTTTCAGAATATGGAGGGATGATTGCCTAATTACTAAAATACACTGTATTTACGCTAAAAGTGCTCTATTTTCTCTGAAAACGCTAAATCATAGAGATAAGGCTAAGTATTTGTGACACTCATATCTTGCTGTGTGTTTATCCGTTTGGAGCGTATTATATCTCGTTGAAAAGATAGATCGGAGATCTAAAGCTATTGTTCCAACTTCATTTACAATGCATTAACTAAAAGTTACAGATTAACCATATATTCACAAATGTTTCTGATTTCACTCCGAACTCGTGTAGATTTGATGCGATCATATCTTGCTCTATTTTGTGCCATTGAAAGCGTTTAATATCTCGTTGGAAAGATCTTACCATTTTCTAAAACTTGTCTTCAGGCGCTGGTTTCAAAATATCAAGGGATGATTGCCCAATTACTAAAATACACTGTATTTACGCTAAAAGTGCTCTATTTTCTCTGAAAACGCTAAATCATAGAGATAAGGCTAAGTATTTGTGACACTTATATCATGCTGTGTGTTTATCCGTTTGGAGCGTAATATATCTCGTTGGAAAGATAGATCTGAGCTCTAAAGCTATTGTTCAAACTTCATTTACAATGCATTAATAAAAAGTTACAGATTAAATATATATTCACAAATGTTTCTGATTTCACTCCGAGCTCGTGTAGAATTTGATGTGATCATATCTTGCTCTATTTTGTGCCGTTAAAACGTCTAATATGTCGTTGGAAAGATCTTACCTAGTTCTATTTTTTTTTGGATGAAATGTAAATATATTAAAACCACCCAAAAATAACATAATACAATGTATCAACCAAATCAAAAGTACGACTATCTAAGTTAGACTAATCTAACCTAAATATAATGCCTCACAAACAAAATGGGTTTTATCCCATAATCACCAAATCACGTGAGTCAGCTACCTCCCTAAATCAAGTACACATTACAA